TAATAGTAATGTCGATGCATTAGTGACAGCGAATGATGTCATAAAATCGGAAGTATCGGATTTGAAATCCATTGTAGTGGATTTAATGAATGTGGTTTCTACCTTACAGAGCACACTGGATAGGGATACCGGTGGTGAACGTGGGAGGCCTTGTACCAGGGATGCAACCCCTGACAGGTACCTAATGTTGATTATTATAGGAACCATTCCTCCTCTTGGCGTAGGGACAGGACACCTGAATATCGGCTGGGTAGATATGATCACTCAGACTCCCGTAATCAAGATAGGACGCCCGAATATCTGCAGGGTAGATATGAGCATGCCGACACACATTGCAGACAAAACAGTCCATACCGCAGGGCATACCAAGGTAGTCCCAAACGGGTTACATTTATCACCAAATATTCTAGTTTGGGAAACTAAAGTCAGCTGGAAATGTGGGTCAATATTCGGCTTATGCAAGTGGAAATACTAGTGATATGCAAAGACCCCTCAGTTGTCATCAGCAGATGACCAACTTGTACATAATTCAGATGAGTTTTTTGGTGTTCCTATTAGGGATTTAACTCCCACATACAGTTGTATGTTGAGGGTCACGAAGTCAGTGCTTTAATTGACACTGGTGCTAACATTTCTTTAATTTCTAATCAGTTTCGTAAAAGTAATAAATTCTTAGAGTCAAGAAGATTTGAGAAAGCTTTCACACGGCTGTCAGTTGATGGCAGCCCCCTTGAATTTATAGACTGTGTTAGAGTTAATTTGCGTATTGGGGATGTTACGCTTAACCATAATTTTCATGTCTCAAATAGTATCCGGAGAGACCCATGATATTGGGTTGGAATTTTCTTATGTAAAATGGGGCAGTTATTGATTTGAAAACTGGAGTTATTAAGATTGCTGATACATTCCGTACTGACCGACAATTCGCTTTACTGTTACATACTTGTATGTTGTTTTACCACGAGCATTGGTTGTTCCAGCAGGTGTGGAAATGGCTGTTGATGCAAAGTGTCAGCCCCTGAATGTATTTCTGTCCCTCATGGATACGAAGGTGTAATGGAGGCTGATTGAGCGGTTTAACCGCACACTGAAGGATCAACTGGCTAAACAGCTTTATGGTGAAGGCAAGGAGTGGGACACCTTATACCTGTCTCTTATACACATCTAGATGTGTATAAGAGACAGGTTTTACTCTGCTTGTGATAGGAAGGAGGATGAGTATTATATTAGTGAAGTGGTTACTTCAACTTCTAGTCCATCAATAGAACCTTCATCACATTTATCTTTTGATATTCCCTCTAAAAACTTAATAACAGAGGAAGGAAAAGATAAGGTCCTCAAACTACTAGATGATTATCACGATATTTTCAGCAAAACAAACAGGGATTATGGTCGTTAGATTTAATCAAACACATCATAGATACTGGGAATGAGGCAACAAGTTTATAGGACTTCTTATGAGAGAGGAGATAAGGAGACAGTCTGATGAGTTATTAGATAAGGACATCATTGAGCCTAGTCATAGCCCACGGAGCTCACCTATACTGTAGTTATGGTTAGGAAAAGGAAAACTTCTTTCGTTTCTGTGTAGATTATAGGAAAATTAATATGCATACAGGGCCTAATCCAAACCCCCCTCCCCTCCAGTGGAGGGACAGAAATTTGGACAGTTATTTAGATCCCGTTCTCTAAGAGCCCAATCACACATTTTTTTAGGCCGGCCCAGGGCCGCCTTAAATTACGGCCAGCTCAGGGCCGACTCAACGACATTTTCGTTCACAGTGATTGTTTTAAGTCAGCCCAGGGCCGCCTTACGAACGTTCACACTTCTCCTTTGGGCCGGGTCGATGAATTGCAAGACAAAATGATTGAGGCGATCGCATTACGTGATGGCGGAACGGTAAATCACAACCTAGAATAAACACATGGAATTCGCGCGAAGCATGAACCTATAATTAATCGAATATTGTCCATATACTTTTTCAATTTTTTAAGCGTAGCATTCTGCTTCATGATTATGGCGACGATAATTATTATAATAACCAAGGCCTATAG